GTGCTTGGGCCACGCACCCTCTATCGTGTGCCGTGCCGGCCTTCAAAGGCGCTACTCACTAACAACACTTGCCCCAACAGTCTGTGAAGGCTATACGGGGCTGGGGGGTCTTTGTCTTTGTGTGTGCGTGCATTGCTCACCCCGGTTCAATTTCCGCTCACGACCAATAACAGTGGCAGCAAAATTCAGGACCGGGTCCTGGACATCCGCCTAGGTCTACTCAGCCTTAATTGAGTATCTTGGTGCGGTGTGTCGATGTAGAGTTCGCCGCGCGGGGACACGTCAGCACCGGGGAGACAAAGGCGGTCGGGCGTGGTGCTGGCCACCCCCCACCCCCTCGTGTGCCGTGCTGGCCTTCATAGGTGCTGCTCGCTAACAGCACTAGCCCCAGTCTCTTCAAGGCTATACGGGGGATTTTTTCATTTGCATCGCTGACAGTGTACACTACAATCACAACACGGTAAGTCACACAGGCCGTAATCAAACCCACTGCTGGATGAAGGCCCCCCCTCCCCACACACCCCGTTGTCGATCGTGGCCGATGTTTGCTCTTGGCCATACTTCACCACGATTGAAGGTGCGCGGGTTGGTGAAGGGAAGGCCTGATGATGGGCGCCCGATTCAAGAGCCGAATGGCTCACAGGGCTGTACCAAATACATGAAACTGAAACAGCAGCATGGGTTCAGAATTGGAAATCTCGCGCAAGTGACGCCGAGCCGTGGCCGGGGGAGTCGAACTGGGGGGCCCCTCGGGGTTCAGCGGCGCCGCAAAGCAACCACGGCTCGCCGCCGGCTGCCCTCCGCCGCCCTCCGACGCAGCGTCCAGCGAACGCGGCGACCGCTGGACGTCCACGCGGCGCGGCTGTTGCCCTTTTGTGCGCTGGCGTGTGCCAAGAGTCGCACACAAAGACGCATTTCCCCCCGCGTAGCCTCGACAGGCTTGGCCGTTTAGCGGGTGAGCGCCGACAAAGGCCGGCACGGCCGCCTTTGTCTCCCCCGTGGCGAGGTTTACACGCGGCACCAGGTAGGGTAGTCTGTGGGTCTGTCGGTCGGCCGCAAGACGGGAACGGAACTCGCGGCCGACGGGGCAGCGTCGTGCAGCGCGGTGTGGGGCTCTCCGTGAAGTCGTCTCGGACACGAGTCGAACCGGTCGCGCTGCGCGTGCGCTGCTGCTGCTCCTGCTGAGGTGTTGCGTACACGGGTTTCGCACGAAGCAGCAGCAGCAGCAGCTCGCTGTACGCACCAAAAATACCTCTCGGCATTCGCAAAATGGAGTCTCGGGGAAACGGCTGAGAGCGCGCAAGGCCTCGCCGCTCCGTGGACCAAACAAACAAAGACAAAGATTCCCCCCCTCCTCCTCCACCTCCGCCCCGTGTAACCTACACGGGATGTCGGGGAAAGTACTGTTAGCGAGCACCTATTGCCAGCACGACGGGAGCGGTGTGGCATGCGGCAACAAAATCCCGTCCGTCTTTGTCTCCCCGCCAATGATGCGGTTTTTTTGGACGCCTTAAAGTACTGTACGCGTTTAATGTTTGTGAGCCGTGCGCTAATCACTACGCCACCGCTCCCCCATGCATACAAAGACCCCCCCCCCTCTTAGTTTCGACAGCCTGTTGGGTCAAGTGCTGTTAGCGAGTCGCACCTATGATGGCCGGCGCGGCGCGGCACCCGAGTGGGTGGCCAGCACCACGCACGGCCGCGCCCTTTACGCACCGCACCAGGTACATGTTTAAGGCTGAGTCGACCTAAGGGGAAGGAGGGCCCATGACCGGTTAGAACAGTAGACGGGTTGGTGAGTGGGAATCGAACCCCGGGCGGCCGGGTTCGCGGCGCGCTGCGCTAATCACTGCGCCACCGCTCCTCAACACACGCGCTCATACGGGCACACATTCGTTGCACGTGTGTGGCGTGTGCACGTGTGTACGTGTGCGCGTGCATGTCCACGCACACCCATCCGCGCTTATCTCCGCTATACTGTATATGTATCCTCGCGATGCCCGTCAAGGGCTCTCACCGATGGTCTTCGTGTCCCCCCAACGAGCGTGCGGGAATCGCCACCCAATGCGACTGTGTGCCGTCTGCGTGTGCACACGCGCGCGCATACGCGCTGTGCACACGGGATGGGCGTGCGCGCGCGCCGCGATGGTTAGCGCACTGCGGTACGCGCCCGGTGACCCGATTCGCGCTCAAGGCCAGCACCAGCTGACCGGTGCCGCGCCTCCCCGACTTAGGTCGACTCAGCCTCGAATTTACGCAGCTGCTGCTGCTGCTGCTGCGATGTGTAAACGTCAGCACTGGGGAGACAAAGGCGGCCTAGCGCGCGCCCTCTGTCCACAGCACCTCGGTGCTCCGAGGTGGCCTTGGGCGCTTGGAAGGTGTTCGCCAACAGTGCCTGCCACGGCAGTCTCTGTTGGAGGCTTACGCGACGGGCCGTTGTGCTTGTGCGCATCGGTGTTGTACGGGTGTGCCGGTGTGTGTGTCTGTGTGTGTGGTAGGTGTGTGTGTCTGCGTGTGTCTGTGTGTGTGTGCAGGTGTGTGTGCAGGTGTGTGCAGGTGTGTGTGTGTCTGTGTGTGTGCCGGTGTGTATGCAGGTGTGTGTGCGTGTCTGTGTGTGGGGAGCGGTGGTGTAGCGGTTAGCACGCTGCACTACGAACCTGGCGACCCCGGTGAAGATTATCTGAACCTCCCCTAGGTCGACTCAGCCTCAAATGAGCACCTGGTGCAGTGGTGTGTAAACATCGCCGCTAGGGAGACAAAGGCGGCCGGGCGTGGTCTTGGCCACCCACCCTCTCGTGTGCCGTACCGCCCTTTATAGGTGCTCGCTAACAGCACTTGCCCCTAAAGTCTGTTGAGGCTATACGGAGCGGTAGTGTAGCGGTTGGCGCTCTGACGCCGCTCCGCAGGATTTGTTTTCTGTTGTCTGGCGGAGTGCAAGAAGCCACGGGGGGCGGTGCGGGGGGGGGCGGTCTATCTAGCAGTAGAGCACAGGCCAGTGTCACTGAGTTAAATACTCAAAGACAACAACAACAAACACACGCGCGCCTAAGGGGAAAAGCAAGGACAGTCGCCCTTGCAATCGGGAGCATGCAGCTACCCCGCCACCCCGACCCCGGGGGATGGGTGGCGGGGTGGGGGAGACCCCGGGGGGTCGTGGCGAACGGAGAGAAGGGAAGTTGCGCTGCTGCCACTGCATCTGGGTGCGAACCCTGCAGGTCTCACCGGGCCCGGGTGCGAACTCCCATCAATGCTGTTCGCGGCCAGCCTCAGCACTCCGTCCTGCGTGGGTCAATGCAGCGGCAGGAGCAGCAGCAGCAGGGCAAGCGAGCGAGCGAGACGCGGGTCTGACTCGTTGCGGCAGCGGGGATCGCGTGCAGTCAGCGTCAGTGCCGGATGAAGCTGGTGCACGGCCTACAGCATGTGATGTTATAAAGGGGCCCTACATAAACAAATAAGTAATTATTAAAAACACATTTTTTTTTTTGTTGCAAAGTAAGGTAATTGTATTTTTTTAATTTGCTATGCAGCCAGATAATGCGACAACTCGCTAATCCTTACACACCCAGTCGTTCATAAAAGTCGAAGGCGGTATAGTACTATAATGATAGAGCAAGTGCAGAATCAATGCATGTGTAGCTACTTTTGCTCCTAGGCTAATCACTGGTCAGTGTCTGTACGAGGGACGGAGACCACCCCTCCCAGAACAGAATATTTATTTAGACTGCGGGAGGAATCCGATGAGCCATGAAGCTCTTTTTCACAGGTGCGCAGTATTTCACAGACGTCCAGTAGAGACAGGCCCCTGGTGCAAAGTGCTGCGAGGGAGCGCCTTTTAAGGCCGGGACGGTCCTAGTGTGGACACGTAGCGAGCACGGGGGGGGGGGGCTTGGTGTTGCCGAAAACACCAAGCCCTGGCCGCTTTTGTCTCCGCAGTGGCGATGTTTTACCACCACCACCACCACCACCCCTTGCATGCCAGGTGCTAATTTTAAAAAAGAGTTTAACTCGGGGGAACAGGTGAGAAATCACTCGCCACTGACGTTGACCGCGGTCGGGAATCGAACTCACCGTGGCGCGAGCTCGGTTTCATCGTGTGGCGCGTGAGCGCACGGCTACACGCGCATCGGCATACGTACAACGAATTCATATACACGTGCGTATTACCCTGTATTATACATCAGTCGTCTGAATTATGCACACGCATGCATTATGTATGTTAAAGCGATGCGTTCATGTGTGTTAAGCGTAAATGATTTACTGTAGTGTGCGAGTGTGCACACGCTGCACTGCATTTGTAAGCTGATGCACATGTGTGTGGTCGTACACGTGTGTATTTATATACAAGAAACTGTGCGTGCATTTAAGGCGACCTAAATATATCTTACTAAATTGATAAGCGCCGGGAAATACGTCTCCTTCTTATATCTTTCCAAGTAATTGTTTTTATTAAATATCCTGCACAAAAAGCCAATGGCCGCACGGCCTTGTGGGAGCAAATCATATCAGGAGCATTGATGGAATACAAGCAAAACCCATGGACCAATTTCGACACCCAATATCTCATCAGCAGAGTGACGCCTGCTTGAATCACTGCTGGTAAACTTCCAGATGTTGATAGAGGAAAGGATCCTCTCTTTAATCATACGGTCCCTAATTACATGCAATATGGCAACAAAGGTTACGGCAAACAAATGTTGCGTCAAACTAGGATGACCCAGTATCTTAAAGAGAGGGTCCTTTGCCTCTGTTAACATCTGGCAGTTTGCCTCCAGATGGGCAAAGCGGGCAGTGCCGGTGATACCGTGGCTTTGTCTCAGGAAGCATTCTGACAGCGTTGGGTCAATCTACCGATGGATCATCGGCATCTGCAGAACGCAGGGAAGTGGGTGTGCGGCTATCGCTTTTGCCCCTCGCTCGCACGCGTGGAATAGTGCGGAGTGGTGCCTGACGCCGCGTGTGTGTGTCTCTCTCCGTGTCTCCCTCTGTCCATCTATCCGCAGGGGGAATGACCTAAAGAAGAACGGGCCCCCAGGGAAGAGGTGCAACGTGAAGGACCCCCAGGTCTCTGGTGTGACCAGCGGTGAGGCCTGCAGACACCCTGAGCGGAAGGAGAGCGATGTCGCTCGGTCGCGCGCCCGCTGCTCGGCCATTGCCTAAAGGCCGAGCCCTAGCGACGAATCCGAACGCTGGCGAGCGCAGTCTTTAACAGACTGTCGGGGCAAGTGCCGTTGTGCGAGTGCCTTATTAAGGGCCGGCATGGCGCATGATGGGGTGGATGTGCCGGCGCCACGCCCCGTTGCTGATGTTTTAATCCACAGCATCCAGGTGCTCATTTAAGGCTGAGTCGTTCTAGGGGAGGCCCATGCCCGGTTCAGATAATTGTCACGAATGTTGGCCGTGAGTGTGTTCGTTAGCGCCTTGTGCTATGAATCCGGCGACCTGAGATAAATTCTTGGCTACGGCAAAGTTCAGTGGCGAGTTTTGTGTGAACCAGTACTGAACTCACCCCCCCCCCCTTATTTCCTCCCTCAATCCACACTGATCCAAAACGGTGAAGTATAGCCAACCATTCCCAGCGGTCACCGCGATGTGGGAAGGCCTTCACTCAGCAGTGTATTGACAAAGGGCTATAAATTAGAACCACTGTACCATGATCGTTGTTGGGTTGGAAGAGCTGCATTTCGTTTGTAAGAGGCCTAAAAACTGCAAATCCCGGAATTAGATTTTTTTAAATCCCCTAAGATTCTCTCCGTAATATCCAGGGCTTAAGGCTGGTAGAGTGTGAGTGCGTGAAGCCCTGACTGTGGATTCAGCTGCGTTGAGTGTCTGGCTACCAGGGGATCTTTCATGGAGGGAGGCATTTGATCGGATTGGGGGCATCGAGAGGAGGAGGAGCAGGAGGGGAAGGAGGAGATTCATGGGCTGGCAGCAGAGTGCCCGCGCCCACAATGTGAAATCTTGGCAGTTGCGAAAATGCAAGATAAGCGGAAGCTATTTATAGCTGCCGCTCTTGTGGATTTCCTTTGGCCGTGGCGGCGTGCCGCTCTCTGATTGATCGCGGCTTTTGGCGCTGCCGTCGAGTTGCGCTGCAGAGGTTGCGAGCGTTGGGCCGCTCGGCCTCTCCATGGCCGTCGGGATGTTAGAAGCGCCACGGTCTTGCGCAACAAAATCTCTCTCGTGTGCAGCAGCGGTGGCAGCTTTATGGGTAATGCCGCAAGGTTTACATAGTAAGCTATGTTTCGAAAGGTTGCACAACACGGCGTTTGCCGAAATGTTAACGGACGTGGACTGAACTAGTTATGAGTGTACCGGTATTAGGAGAGTGACCTCGCCACCACCAACATCATCATCACCACCACCACCACCGTCACCACCGTCATCATCATCACCACCACCACCACCGTCACCACCGTCATCATCATCGTCGTCGTCCCTATTGTACCAGTGCCCAGGTACTTTTGCTGGGATGAAGGTAAAAGAAACACGTGAGCGCTGTGGGTTGTAGGGCGTTCCAAGCAACACGATTCATCTGAGCTCGGCTGAGTGACGGCCGCAGAGCGTTGGAGCGAGCAAGCGATGACGCCCCGACACGGAGGCGTGCGAGCTGTAGGGTGGGTGGAGGCACGGGTGTAACTAACGGTGCATCGGTCGGTTTGGCGATCAACAGTGACCCCGCTTAGGCTCACGATGCATGCGTCGCACGCCTTAGAATCAACAATCGTCTTTGAATCCAAAGTTCCCGTTGTCACATAGGTCGGCAGCCCCATGTTGTCTCTCCGTGAGTTTCTATTCTGTGCCTCTCCTCCAGTCACATTCACCGTCCTCGCATCTCGATCCACCGCATCCTCGGTCTCCCTCTCCTCGTACTCCTGCCCCTTCTCAAACCGTCTATGTCTGGGCCCCCCTTAGCCTCGGTAGTAATCGATCCATCGTTATGCCCCAAGCTGGGAACGTCGGGGAATGAACCCAGTGCCAGTGCTGAGAAGCAGCCGTCTAAATGTCAAAGACCGTTTTTGAGATCTTTATTGAATGTGAAAATGTAAATAAATAATGAGTCTTGTAATCATTGATGTATATTTCATTGTAGATACAATTAATATTCCTCATCATATCGATCAGCCGTGCTCAATCCACTGTTGGATTAAGGCCTCCCCAAGCCGCCGGCAGCTCGAGTGGACTGGCCGTCGCGAGGCGGAGCGGCTCCACGCGGCGCCCACACAATAGCCCAGCGTTATTAAGCCACGAGAAAAGGGTCCCCTGGCCAGCGCTGTGCTCACATTAACGTCAATTACACCGGCGTCTCCCCCCTTTGTTCCTCATTCAAGAAGCGGGTCCTGATTGTAAGAGGGACCCGCCACCCATTGTTTCCACGGGGGGTATTTGTCCCGCTGCGTTTTCCAGCTGGGGAAATACTAACTGACGGAGCGATGTGCGCGCGCGTTTACGAGCGCGCACATCCCACCACCCCCCCGCCCCCACCTCGTCCACCCGCCCGCGCTCGCTCGACTGGGCCCGGGGGACGGCTCCAAGTGGTACGGGGCCCGGGGCCGACACCCGCGGGTTATCGCGATCGATGCCCCGACGACGTGCGGGACCGCGCGGCACGGTGTGCGGCCCGTGCACGCGGTCACTCCGGTGCAGCAGCAGCAGAATCTGAATCTGCATTTAGGCTGGAGGAATCCGATGAGCTACTGAGCTCTTTTTTCACAGATGTCCAGTGGGGGCATGGGGTCAGAGCGTTGCGAGAAAACACGACGAAAGCAGCAGCGTCCTTGTCACCCATGATCAATCCATTGCTGGAATGATCATCAGCCGTCACCGTCTCTCACGGTCCCCCGACTTCACGATCTGTCTAGCACCAGGTAACGACTTGCGCTCGGTATTGTTTGCATAATTATTAAATTATGTGCACTCTGGGGTGGGGCGGTGGCACATTGGTTAGTGCACTGCGCTACCAACCCAGCGACCTGAGTTCGATATGTGGGCCACGACTAGCATGGTGAAGTATGGTCAAACAATTCCCCCTCCACTGACATGGCTAGCAGTGGATTGACAAAGCATAGCAGCTTGTAGAAAAAATTCACTCTTCTCCTCTCCTGTATTTGAAAGCGATAGTTGTGTGTGACTGGATTTGTACAAAGTGACACAGGGTCCACACGTAGCCGTGTGTCAAAATGTACAAACCGCAGCTCCGATTAAGCGCGGTTCACTACGCACGGTGCGAAAGAAGTTGACCATACATCGTGGCTTGCGTCCTACTTTCCGGGAGCGCCTTACGCTCCGCGCGGGCGCGTGCAACGCTCGTGCCATTGCAAAACGGGACGCCGCAATCCGGGCGAAATATTTTGTCCGTAAAAATTTAAAAATAATTCCGCAGCCGCTCGACCCCCACGCCGGCACCGCTGACTCGCGCGCCGCATCGCCCGCTGTGCCAGGGAGCCGGGGAGCCGGCCGGCCGGCACCGCCGGGAATGGCGAGCACGCACAAGGACCTCCTCTCCTCGGAGCCGCCCCCGCTCCCCGGGGGGGGAGCGGCGGCGGTGGTGATCGCGGCGGCGGCGGTGGCCGCGGCGGCGTGCCTGGGGGCCGGCTGCTGCGAGTCCGCGGGCGCCGTCGGCGGAGGAGGCGGCGGTGGCGGAGGAGGAGCGGGGAAAGGCGGGGGGCCCGAGGGGCCCGGCTTGCTCGCCGTGGAGGTGGCGACGCCGACGGCCGTGGCGGCGCCGCTGCCCGCGCGCTCGCTGGCGCCCAAGGCCGGCGACGGCGGGGGTCGCGGCGGCCGCAAGGAGACGCGGCTCAAGGAGAAGGAGGGCGGCGAGAAGGAGGGCGGTGCCTGGATGTACATGGAGCCCGTGCGGAGCCAGGCCCGCAGCCCGCGCCCCGCCTGGCAGCCGCCGCACCTCGAGGTGATGCTCGTTAACGATTGCTCGTAATCGTTGATCCGGACGATTGCCGTAGTGAGTGAATGTTGGGGGATCGCGAATAGATTCGCGAATCAATTTGTTCGTCGCCTGCAGGGTTTGTGCGAAGCACGCGAACCGGTGGATGCTTGCCCGCACGGTGCGGAGCACGCGTCGCGAGCACAGGAATTGACGTCGAATCGCTCGATGCGAGGAACTCCGATCACGTGCACTGGATCGCAGGACCGCGACAGAGGGCGACAGCTTCTGGAGGCCTTCATTCGGCAGTGGATTGATCATGGCCGATGTTGATGATGATGTCAATGGGGTAAACCGCCCGACGAGGTCAGCGCGGTACCCCCGATAGCGTCGCACCCGCACCCCCAGTAGCCACTGACTCCACGATCGGCCGTTTTTCTCCCCCGTGACTCCGGCAGCGGCAGCAGCAGCAGCAGGAGGACGACGAGGAGGAGGACGAGGACGACGAGGATGACGACGACGAGGACGACGACGCGGGCTACGGGATCGGCGAGGAGCGGCAGGGCTGGGTGTGGCGCAACGGCGCGCAGCGTGGCCGCCGCCGGGGCGTCCGCCAGCCCCCCGGCTCCCGTGCCGACCTCTTCTCCCGCGGCGGTGGCAGCGGCGGCGGCGGTGGCCGTGGCGGCGGTGGCGGCGGCGGCGGCGGTGGTGGTAGAGGCGGTGGCGGTGGTAGAGGCGGAGGCGGTGGCGGCGGTGGTGGAGGCGGGCTCGGCGGTCAGAGCGACTTCGAGAGTGGAGAGGACGAGGAGGAGGAGGAAGAGGACGAGGATGAGGACGACCTGGATGAGGATGATGATGATGACGAGGATGAGGTGGACGAGGTGTCGGGGACGAGGGCGGATGGCGGGGAGAGGCGGAGTGACGGTGCCGTCCCCCCACCCAAGAAGAAACTGCGCAAGAAGCGGCCGCCCTTGGACGAGTCAGGTGAGACCGCCGTGCACTCCGGCTGCCCGTTGCAGGCCCGGCTCCTCATTCTATCGCAGCTTGCGAGAAGCCGTGAGGGGGGGGGGTGGAGGCTGCAGGGGCTCGCTTCCCCAGGTGCGGGTGACGACGCGCACGCGGGCGGGCGGGCGATGGAGCGTTGACTGGAATGCGGGAGTGATGTATGAATGGGCGCGGGACGGGTTCTCCGGGGAGATTTCAGCGCTCCCGTCCGGCGTCGTGGGCTCGCGAAGTCGCCGCCGCACGATGGCCGTTGCCGATCACGTGGCTCGTATTCAAGTCCTTGCGAGGGCTCGCTACACTTTTTGTTCCGGGGGGCAAATTCAATTTCGTGCCCTGGCAGGGTCGTTGAGATCTGCCGATCGTGCCCCTTTTATGCACGAACCTCGATCCCGGTTGCGTTCTTGGGGTGGTCCGGCATTTGCTGTGGTGCCCCCCCCCCTCCTCCCCAATGTGGAACTTCCTGCCGTGGGAGATCAGGCTCTCGGATCATCGTGTTGAGGTCTTTAAATCATAATTCGTTTTGTTTCACTTTGGCTCTCATCCTGCCACCCAGTTCTTTAACATATTTCTCCCTTTCATGCACGAAGCCTTGAGTGTTTTTTTCTTTCTTTACGGAGGGTTCCTTATAGGTGCTAAATTGTTATTAATAATTTGGGCTCAGTTACGGAACTTACACGTGTTACCGAAAAGCAAGATCAGAGGGGGGCTGGTGTTTCTCACTTTCTCTTCAAATTCGAGGAATGGTCCACCTCTAACCACACATTTAAGGCCACGGCCAGTCCGTGCAAGGTGGCCCCGTGCCGGCGACGTGAATGATGAAATGCCGCTCTGCTCATCAAGACCGACGCGGTTGCCTCTCACCACTTTGCTGGGAATGTTTAGAATATGAAACATTTAGGTTCGATTCTTTTTTTTATATTTTCATATTTTGGTATCAGCAGCAAGCAATTAGCCACCGCTAAGTACAACAACAACACGTAGCACCACGAAACAGCCAAAAATATATATTTTTTAAACATCACAACTGAATGTGTCACGTTCATGAACTAATCTAATCGGATTGGCAAACATCCACACTCTAGACAAATAACAAGATCCAAGGCCCAGAGCTTGATAATCATTATCTAACCATTACACAACCAGCGAAGCAATCAATTTGCCTCCCGTAAAATGTGATTATGGGGCCGTCCATAAATGACGTCACGCACCTGGTGGAGGGGGGGTCAGACATTTGTGACGATGTGTGACGAGGGGGGGGGGTGTTTGAGAAATGTGACGTCACATCAAAATGCGCAACTTTAAATAAATATAGACAACACGTTCTATTTAATTAAATAGACTTTTTGATAAAAAAAAAATCTCCTACAACATCAGAGTGCAGCGCCACATTAAATACGCACTACAATGACAATAGTTTAAAGCGATTTGAAGCATGTTTCATTTTCAAAATGGAAATATGGTTTGGGGGGGGGGTAGAGTTTTGTGACGTCATATTAGAGGGGGGGGGTCTGACTTTTTGTGACGCCGTCTGACGAGGGGGGGGGGGGTCAAAAATCGTCCAAAATCGCGTGACGTCATTAATGGACGGCCCCGGCGCCGTTTACTGGGTTATGCATGCACACGTTTGCGTGTGCGCAGCGTCGATGGTAATCTTTGCACACTCGTGGATAATTCCTCACGAGCGCATGGGCGCGCGAGAAGTTTTTGTCAAGAGTCTCTTAAAATCCTGGTGGACGTCACTTTGCCCATCGTCACAGCTTAACATTGTTTATTTCCGTCCTTCTCCGAGAGGCCGGTCAGACCGGGCGTGCGAATTCCTCGCGCGAAGTGGGCGGCGGCTAAAGCCGCCCAGACTCTTCCGCGGCAATAAACGCAGCGAGTGCGACTGAAACGGAGATGTCGGCGATTGGGACGAACAGCCGCCGTCGGTGGCGGGGCTGGGGGTTCGGGGGTTCCACCTTCGAGTGAGCGGGGAGGTGGGGGTCTCTTGGAGCGCACGACGGCACGGAGTGCCTCGCTGCAGCCCTGGGTGACTGCGCTCACTTTACCGAAAAAAACCTAAGAATATGAATCCTTGCAGTCACGAAAGCTTCAAATCTAGAATGAAGCTCTTTCATTGCAAAGGGGCTCGGTTGCCGCTCGCCGCACGCTCTGCTTCGGCAGGGGCCCGGCCTGGGATGGGGTGAGGGCTGAATGGGGCGTTAGGAGCGTCGTGCGCGGCGTGGTGGTGGTGGCACGGAGAGGCGTTACACTCGCCGTCCCGAAGCGCCGACTCCGCGGTTACCGCTGGCCGCGCCATCGGCCGATGCATTCCTCGGTAAAAAAAAAAAAAAACACTCAGCCTAGTAAAATAAAAAATACAAGTCGAGAAACCTGTCCTGGCACTCGTTAAATCTTGATCGTCTTAATGTGGCCGCGCCGCTCGCGGTTTTACACTCGCAGGGGCCCAATCATCCCGGCGCCATGAATCATGGCGACTTCGCACAGGTAATGCAATTCATTTCCTCCTCTCGAATGTTTTTTTTCCTTTCTGAAAGAAAGACACCGTTCCATCGTCCGTGAGGCGATTCTCCTCACCTTCGTTCGCGCAGGTGAGGCTTGTTCTCTGGTAAATTTCGGTCGGTGAAAATTAACTCCCAATATTCCCCGCGCTTGCCAGAGATGAATACCCACGGAGTAGCAGAGCAAAGCTCCGAGAGCGGCGCTTTCGTGAGCGGCGTGACGTGGGTGCCATTGACAAAGTTGCGGCCATTATTAGCCGAGCGTGGTCATTACCTGCCCAGTGGTGGGTCTCGTTTAATTTCGCTTGAGGCGCGTAACGGGACGGAATCGGCGTGGAAGCCGCGCGATGTCTGCCGCAGAGAAGAGGGCCCCGTCTCGCTCGCGCTGCGGGAAAGGACTTAGCCGAGTGGTTGAGCGTGATGGCAACTCACGCAAAAAAAAAACTCTATGCGCTCGATAATAACACTGTGGCCTTACAAAAATAATTAGCAATGTTCCAACTGATGGCCCTTCAACATTGACACCTCCGATTAGCACGGTTGGCTATGTACGGTGCAAAAGAAGTCCAACATACTGTACATGTGGAAATGGCACAAATGCGATCTGCTGTGAAGAATATGCTCTGGAGGGGGAAGCCCATTGCCCAAAAGCTCACCTCTTTAAATATTTTCATTTTTGGCCACAGTGTCATCGACGAGCGTGTTGAGCTTTTTTGGCGTCATTCGTGCGCCACTTCCAACGTAGCAGCGAAAGAAAATGATTTGTGTTTACGTGATGGGAATTGGGTTGTTGTCGTTGCTGCTGCCGCCGCCGCCGTCCACCGCACACCGATGATGCTCCTCGACGCTGTCGCCGCCACATCGCGCCGATTGAGCGATCGCGTTGCGATGAATACCTGGATTGCCCTATGGGGTATGGGGGGTGGAGTAGGTGGGGGTGGGGGAGTGCATGAAGCTGGGAGGCAGGGAGCAAAGATAAAGCACACACGCGCACACAGACGAGCCACTCAAAGCGGGGAAATTAAACTCCCCGGATAGAGTCGGGACGTGCGTGTGAATTAAGCGATTACGTGAAGAATAAAAAAAAAACGCCACGGACGATCACCGCTACATCACGCATCCAGTTTCACGCGGGCATTGCCGCTAAATTTAGAAAGCGCGAGAGGAGGAGGCGTTGCCGGCGGGGCAAACCTCGGGGTTCGTGGGTCGCTGTCCGTCGCCTCCGTCGCTCCTCCTCTCTGTCCGCCGACACGGAGCGTGACGAGCGACGTCGCGGCGCTGCGATGTCTCACTGAATATTGTCCGGGTCCCTGGCAAGGCTGGGGTAGGTGAGGCACACTGGATGCGGTGTACTGGGTGGCACAGCTCGAGAAAATAATCCAGCATGCCGGTGTGCGTTAGACCCGTGTGTGTTAGACCCGTGTGTATTAGATTGGAGTGCGTTGGGCCAGTGTGTGCATTAGGCCAGTGTGTGCGTTATGCCAGTGCGCGTTCGGCCTGCGCACGCTAGTTAGGCTGGTTTGTGTGCTCGGCTCACGAGGGGGGCACCGCAAGCGGCGAGCGTGTGCGCAGACAACCTCCCGGCCTGCCGGCGTAGCAAGAACGCAACGCCGATGATTCCCCAGCCTCGCTCCTCCAGCGGCTCGCTCCCACCTCGTCATCGTCGCTCCCGGCCGTGGGGGAGGTCGATGGTGGTGGTGGAGGGGAAGTCACCAGCGCCGTCCGTCTTTAAAAATTTGTCTGAGTAAAATATTACGGGCCGGCGGGGCGGTCTCCGGCCGCGGTTAAGTAACGGAGGGCAGTGAGCAACGATCAATCACTTACTTCGATTGGAACCATGTGTGCGTCGGTCCGAGATAATTGTCCTCTCTAGCGGGGGAGATCTGGTCGACCGGGACAAGGGAGCGGCACTTTGTGGTTGTTGGGGGTTATTTTTCTCTCTCCCTCTCACGATTTGCTTTCAGGAATTTGTGGCCGTAACACCGGGCGCACGTTGCTCTGCTCTCGAGAGCGATGTCACAGGCTCTTATTTTCATTGCGCATTGAAAGGAATAATACTCTGCTGTGCCGTGGTGATGTCCACAAGCGTTGCCAGATGATTTCCGCAAGAGCAAACGCATCGCCTCCTCGTGAAGTGCGCTGCGGTGTTTGTACATCGAATCGCACCGGACGTAGCCGGCCATGCTATTATCGCATAGAGCTGGACAAGTGTGCGTGGCCATCTATTAAACTTTCACAGCCCACACTTAAGGCAACGTCGCACTACAGCGTGTGTGTGTGTGGTGTGGCGCGTGTGTGTGTGTGTGGTGTGGCGCGTGTGTGTGTGCGTGTGTGGTGTGGCGTGTGTGGGACGCGGTAGTGTCGCGGTTAGCGCGCTGTGCCACGAACCCGGTGACCCGAGTTCGATCCACGCTCACGGTCAACACCGGCGACGATTATCTGAATTGGTCCAGGGCCTCCCCGAGGTCGACTCAGCCT